CGCCCCACAGTTTGGGAACCTCTGCTTTAGGCTGACCTACAGCCGTACACTAAGTTCAGAAACTTGAAACTGAAGTAGCACAGCGTTACACCAGATTACAACAAAACAACCTCATAGTGACGTATAAAAGTACAACAACTTTACAGATACTTTTAATGATTTCAAATCGTCTGCCAAGGAACCAGCAGTGCAGACTAACAGGTGCATCTATCGATGGGTCCAGTTAAAGCCTGTTCAGGTACTGATGACCCGGTCTACCTCCAGAGCTGCAGCTCTGCTCAGAGTTACCATGAATTGGATTCTGGTTCTGGTTCTGGTCATGGTACCGGTTCTGGTTCTGACGTCTGTGCTCTGATGTTTCCCGCCTCGGTAGGTGGAGGTCACTTCTTCAACAGGAACGCCATGTCTCCTCGGAGCAACATCTGTGAGATGGAGCTGCCGGACATCCAGGCGTCCCTCGATCTCTACGACAACAACAAGTCCTGAGACCGGTCGCCATGGTTACAACCGCACACCAACATCAATCCCCCTGCTGATGGACGGACAAACCGCTGTGGACCCGCAAAGTCCTGATAGGGGAATTCCTGTTCGGATGTGGGGTTGGGAAGTCGGATAACGACCACCTTCAGCCACAGAAAGACTTTACTGACGTTCCCAACAATCCCAAGGTTTCAAACTCTGGTCCTGTTCCTTTAAAGCTCCTCTCCTGTTTCTGGATCAGAACCACCCTCCCTCACTTCTCAGTGTCTGTGGAAATGACCAGGATGTAAAACTCTGGGTTTTCTTTCAGGTCCCTACATGTGTTCTAGATGCTAAATAACTCTGAAAAGCCAAAATGTTCCGGTAAAATCATTAAGATTCCCAGTGCAGTCGCTGGGAATGTTTTCTTGTGCCTGAAGAGATTTGGGTCTCCTGCTTAAAGGTTCTAACTTTCAGAAATGCTTCCTTATGCTGAGCCTTGGTTCTGAAAATGATCCTGTTTTTTCTGAATCAGTTCCTCAAGACCTGACCAGTTTCTGCAAAGCTTTGATCAAGGAATCCAGAGATCAGGAACGTCTCTGAAACCTTCCTTTGGATACAACATTCCTGAAAGAGCGACAAGTAATTCCTGAAAAGGTTGTGCGTTATTTAGGTCCCCTCTGCTGGGTCTTCCAAAGGTTCTGCTGCTTTAGGACCTGGATCAGCGCCTTCCGGGTCGTCTTGGGGAACAGAACCAGATATTGTCCCAAATCTGGATGGTGATGGAGCAGAACCGTTAGAACATCAGGGAAGCTCACAGAGTCCAGGAACAGATCAGGTTCCTGGAGTTCCTGGTGGGGCTCAGACTGAGGGGGCGGAGCTTTGGAAGAGGGGCGGGGCTCCAGGAGCCGTATTCCTTCCTGTTCCTGGTGTTCCAGCAGGGAATCCCGGTGAGGACGATCCCTTCAGGAACGGACTGCAGCTTTCAAGTGTATTCTGAATTACTCAGCCTGTATTAATACTAATAATCAGTATATAAACAGCATTAAACAATCTATAACCTGATTGGTTCAGTAGTAATAAGTGACCTGAAAATGTCCTGAGACGCTGAGCTGCTGTCCACATCTCTCTGTCTGTCTCTGATGATGATGATGGTGGGGGTCCTCTGTGTGTTTACTGCTGCAGCATCATGTCTGATTAAACGTCATTAAAGCGTCTGCTGCATTCACTCTGCAGTTTGTCTCCGTCTCTCTGGAAGTCTGACACTCTGGATCCGGATGTCTCTGTTCATCCATCCCAACTTCCCAGGAGAATCATTCACATTAAAATCAGTTCACTGACAGACAAAGAGCAACTTTTGGATTTAGACTCTGTAGAGACTTCTATAGCTTCAGATTTTTTATCAAACTAAAACATTCGCAGCATCTTTACAAACTTGGATTTAAGCTCTACTCTCCACATGCAAACACCACTTTTAATCAGTTACGTTTAATCAGTTTGTCAAACATGTTTCCACCAAAGCTACTATTATTGACATGAGGAGTGGCCATGTTAGATTTTTAAGTACATTTTTTGAAGGTTGGCATTTTTCTGATTTTCTAATGCAGCACAAGCTGTTAGCATGGCAGTTAATGTTAGCATGTGTTAGTGTTAGCCCATAAATCTAAACATGTTCAGGTCTATTGTATAAGGCCACAAGCTAATATTAACATAAGTTATGTATTGGCTTATGATGTCCTTCAAGCTGCATAGATTAAAGCTAGTTAACATGCTAGTATGTGCCAGTATGCTAATATTAGCAAATTAGTTAATCTCATAAGGTAGGCTAGTTATGACATTACCATATTCGATATCACTTTATGCGCTATTCACAAGATCTTACTTTTATCTTTAGCTTACATGCTAATCAATAAGTTAGCTAATAACATTTGAGATGTTACTTTTAACAACTATCAGCTAAAATGTTGTGAGTCTAAATGTAGGGAAACCATTCATGTTATTGGTAACTGTTCCGTGTTAGCATTTTCCAGTCTGGTTTAATTAATTGAAACGGTTCAGAGCTGCAGGCAACACCAAGGTTTCTTCAAGAACTCTTCAGAACGTATTACGTTTTTCTGCATAATCTTATTTTTTCCCCCAGTTGTCAGGATTTTTCATTTTCTGTAAAACTTTTTTTTCATTGTAATTTCTGTAATTTTTGAGTCCTTTTTTAAATCTAATTTATTTATTTTTTTACAGGTTATTGTCTCACCAACGAAGCACAAATGAACACAGATTACGGCAAGGTTAAAATTTCGTCTCTTATTTTCCAGCATTCCGAGACACAAACGAAATTTGAGAATTGATGCAGCAAATTCCTGATCATGAATAAGAAACCTTATTAAATATGCAAAATAATTTAGTGGAAGTTCAGACTAGCAGACACCCAGCAGCAACGTCTATCAGAGTTCAGTTGGGATTATTATATTATTATTATTATATTAGGTTATTTTTCCCATTAAACATGTTGACGTCATGTCGTACAGGACGTAGAAGGCGTGGCCTAACATGTCACACCCGGAAGTGATGTAGAGTCACCAGACTCGCTGAAAACAACAGAACCAGAACCAGGACCAGACAGAACCTGGTTCCGGATTCTGTCCGGAGTCTACCGGGTCTTTGGGTCAGCGCAGCGGGCCGACATGTGGATCGAACCGGAGGAGGTTCTGCTGGCCGGGGCTCTGTGGGTCTCTGAGCGGGCCAACCCGTTCTTCATCCTGCAGAGGAGGAGGGGGCACGGCCGCGGAGGGGGGCTGTCCGGTAGGTTCGGTTCTGTCTGAGGGAGCTGCTGGTAGAGGTCTACTCGGTCCGGTTCGGTTCTGAGCAGGTTGGGTGAGGGGGTCAGGGGGTTCGTCCAGTTCGACTGGTTCCGTTGGGTGTCGGTTGTCCGGTTCGGTTCCGCTGGTGGAAACGGTTCTGACAGAACCTCCAGTAATGCTCAGCAGAACCGGGATTGGTTCGGTTAGCCTGGGTGGATCTCCATGGCAACACCGTGAACGGTTCCGGATTGTTAGATGCAGAACCAGAAACCCGGTTCAGAGGACAGAACATCAGATCGTCAGATCTTCGAGAAGTGACGTCATGAGGGCACAGCTGACTTTGTTGACTTCCTGGTAACCCAACAGGTGGTTTATGTTTCACCCTGTGAGGTCGAAGGTCACTACAGGAACCTGCAAGGTGGCGGTGAGAGTCTGTCCACAAGTCCCTAGAACCAGAACCAAGACCCCTCGGCTCCTTATGGACTGTTTTCTAGTCTCCTATGTTGACTCAGGGACAGAGGAATGGAGGTCATGGGGTCATGGAGTCATGAGGTAGAAGTGTAGATGTCATCAGCCTAAGGTAGAAGTTGTTGTAGTACCGTCTAATCTGCGATAGGGGGAGCTGTAGCTGGCAGACCTGCAGATCCTGATGATGTCTCCTGGTCCTCGGTGTCTCTGCAGGTCTTCTGGTGGGGACGCTGGACGTGGTTCTGGACTCCAGCGCCAGGGTGGCTCCCTACAGGATCCTGCTGCAGACGGCCGACTCCCAGATCTACTGGAACATCGCCTGTGGTGAGCAGGAGGACTGGGAGGACTGGGGATATTCTGAATGCAGGTATCTTTTCAGATTTTTCCCTCCATCTCATCTTGCAGGCTCGTCGAGGAAAGAGATCACGGAGCACTGGGATTTCCTGGAATCCAACCTGCTGCAGACGATCTCCATCTTCGACAACGATGAAGATGTCATCACCTTTGTCAAAGGAAAGATCTCGGTACGTCTCTGCTGGTTTGGCTTGCTGGGATGTGTTCCTGTCTGCTTAGTGATGTCACTTCCTGCAGGGCATCATCGCGGAGGAGAACCGGCTGAAGCGGAGCGAGGAGCAGGAAGAGAACAGCGGGAAGTTCCTGGAGGCAGAGCTGAAGATGCGGAAGCTGTTTGGGATGCCGGAGGAGGAGAAGCTGGTGAACTATTACTCCTGTAGCTACTGGAAGGGGCGTGTCCCGCGCCAGGGCTGGCTCTACCTGTCCATCAACCACCTGTGCTTCTACTCCTTCCTGCTGGGCAAGGAAGGTACCGTCAGCCAATCGCACACCGGCTTTAACTTGTCCGCAACGATTACTGACGTGTGTGCTGCTGTCCGATCCGCTCAGTGACGCTGGTGGTGCCGTGGACCGAGGTGACCCAGCTGGAGAAGAACGCCACCCTGGTGTTCCCGGAGAGCGTCCGCGTTAGCACCCGGAACGCCGAGCATTTCTTCTCCATGTTCCTGAACGTCAACGACACCTTCAAGCTGATGGAGCAGCTCGCCAACATCGCCATGCGCCAGCTGCTGGACAACGAGGCGTTCGCCGCCGACCGCTCGCTGCCCAAGGCCTGCAAGACGCTGAAGAACGTCTCTGCCCTGAAGAGGTCTCACTCTGACCGTTTTCTCTGTTTCCAAACGTGTCTGCCGCGGCTCTGACCGGATCGGCTGCGTTCTTGTCTGCAGAGACTTCGACGCCCGGGCCAAGAACGAGCGGTACCGGTCCATGTTCCGGCTGACGCAGGACGAGCGGCTGGACGGACACACGGACTGCACGCTGTGGACGCCGTTCGCCAAGATGCACGTAGTGGGTCAGCTGTTCATCTCCAACAACTACATCTGCTTCAGCAGCAGAGAGGAGGACCTGTGCCAGCTCATCATCCCGCTCAGAGAGGTGAGCCCAGAAAGCAGCAGAACCGGGCCGAGCCTTCCTGCCATCGCAGCGGATGGAACCGTCATGACATGTTCTGATGGAATCATTTTGACCACACAGGCAGGTCACTGTGAAGGTTTTCAAGGCGTGGCTACCAGCAAACATTAGCATGCCACACCCTCAGTTTGTCTGTTTTCATATTTCCCATCAGCCACTTGAATTTCCAATTTTGAGCCTGTTAAACCAAAATCAGAACCTGAGGACTTTGCTGCTGGCGAGTCTCACGTCAGTCAACAGGAAGGAGAAGACGAGAGACGGTCAACTTAATGGTTAGCGTTAGCTTCTGCTAATGATTTTATGTGTAAAGTGGTTTAGCATTGGCTTCGGCTAATATTTTTATGTGTTTAACAGCTTAATGTTGGTAAAGCCAAGACTCTAATTTAGTAGTTAGTGAACCTACCACCAGGGCCGTGCAGAGGCCACTAAGGGCCAGGTGCTCCACAAAAAAAGGGCCCATCTAACCTTCTAGGTCAGAATATTAAAGCCACTCAGCTTTCAGAGTTTAATAAACAATGATAAATTACAAAATTGTGAAATATACAATCAAAGTTAAGATAAATCTCTATACAGATCATACAACTATGCATATGTAAGATATTTTATTAGTAATTTCTTTCTGCAGGTCTATTTTGTTATAGGAAAGTTTTGCAATAATCAAACCAGCAATGTAGCAAGATATGTAAATCAGAGCTGGTGGTTTAGCTCTGATTTACATATTTAGTCTTTACAGAATTACACTATTAAAAATA